TGATATTTTTTTCATTTTATTTTGAGTTTTTTCTATGAAAGAATCATAATTATTTTTCTTGAAAACTTTTGATTTAGTTTTTTCTACCTCTGGCATTAGAGTTCTCAAGTTTCTGTTCATTAAAGCATTTGCAGGTGAGTTCTCACCATCTAGTGGTGTATTTCTATAATAAAGTGTGCTAAATAGGGGTCTTTATTATCAAAAAGACATTTTTTTAGAATATTTTTTACTGTTTGTATTGTTCTTTCTACTTGTCCATTTGACTGTGGATATAAAGGAGAAGATGTTATGTGTTGAAAATCCCAGGACCTACTGAAGCTTTGAAATTCGGAACACAAAAATTGTGGACCATTGTCTGAAATTAGTAGTTTTGGGATACCAAATCGGGAAAGCATAGCTTTCAATTTATGTATTACATTTTTAGCTGTTAAATCATTACTCAAATTGGCTATTTCTACAAACTTAGAGTAATAATCCACTACCAAAATATAGGACTCTGTCTGAAAATGAAAAATATCTGCTCCTAACTTAACCCAAGGCGATTTGGAAACTTCATGAGGCATTAGTGGTTCTGGACCTTGAGTTGTTTTGAAAAATTGGCATACAATACATGCTGATACCATATCTTCTAATTGTTTTCTCATAGCTGGTCAGTAAAATGACAAGTTAGCTTTTTCTAAACACTTTTTATACCCTAAATGGCTATAATGTAATTTTTCTAGGATTTCTTCTCTTAGAGGTTTGGGTACTATTAATTTATGTCCTCTGAACATGAGTTGATCTATCGAAGATAATAGAATTTAATATTTTCTGGCCAGTGTTTTATGTTTGAACATTGCGGGCTTTCTAAAATATTTTTTAGATTAGTTAGTTCTGGATCGTGTCTAGTCATTTTTTGAATTTCCTGTTTCTTATTTTCAGATATATTTAGAGTAAGTTCAAAACTACATATTTCTGCCTCTATCTCAAAATCCTGATTTTCATTAAAATTTACATCTGATCTGAAGGCTCTACTCAACGTATCTGCTATAATAATTTTTTTCCTGTTTTATATATGAGATCAAAGTCATATTTTTTCAGCTGAATCAACATGCGTTGTAATCTCGGAGGACAAAGATGTAAAGGCTTTCTAATTATAGCTATCAAAGGTTTATGATCCGTTTCAACTATAAATTTTTTCCCATAGACAAATTGAGAAAATCTTGTAATCCCAAACCAACATGCCAATAACTCTTTCTCTATTTGGGAATATCTCCTTTGAGTTTCTGTTAGAGCTGATGATGCATGAGCACAAAGCCTTTCTTTTTGCATTAAAATGGCTGCCTTCTCATATTGGGATGCATCTACGCAAATAGTTGTTAACTCATTAGTATCAAAAAAATTCAAACAAGGTTTTTCAGACAACACTTTCTTCAAATCAGTGAATGTTTTATCATGGTTTTCATTCCACTCAAAAACTGCGTCCTTTTTCAGGAAAGTTCTCAAATTTGCTGTTTTATCTGACAAGTTATTGACAAATTTGTCTATATATGTGACCATACCTAAAAATATTTGAACTTCTTTTACATTTTTTGGTGTTGGCATATCTATTATAGCTTGGATTTTAGACTGATCTGGTTCTATACCTTTCTCACTTAACTTATGTCCAAAATATTTAATTTCTCTAACAAGGAACCTGCATTTTGCTTTATCAAACTTTATATTATGATCCCTAGCTATTTTTAATACTTTATCTAATATTCTATCATGCTCATCGATTGTCTTGGCAAAAATTATAATGTCATCTATATAGACATCACATCCTTCTATATTTCCAAATATGTTGAACATTCGTTCCTGAAATACTTCAGGAGAGCAAGAAAGACCATATGGAAGCCTAGTAAATGAATACTTCCCAAAAGGTGTAGCAAAAGTACACAATTTTGCACTATCAGTATCTAATTTAATCTGTAAAAACCCTTGGGTTGCGTCAAGTGTGCTAAAAAACTTACAGTTAGCCATTTTTGCCGTTATTTCCTCCAAAGTAGGGATTTGAAAAATTTGCCTTCTAATATATTTATTTAAGTCTGTTGGGTCCAAACAAATTCTTAAGGTTCCATCTGCCTTTTTCACTATTACCATAGGATTCACCCATTCCGCACTACCCAATACTTTTTCAATTATATTGTTTTTTTCTAATTTATCAAGTGTTTGTTTGAAGGTGATTGACAATGTTTCATGATGAATTTCACCAGTCATCAGCCGAAGACGATTGTAGATACTAACAATCGAAACGTCGTGAACTAACGTGACTTGAAATCTCTCCACTTTTAATTTTTTTATTTTTATTTTCTTTTTCATTTCTTCATTTTTATTTATTCAATTGTTCTATTTTTACTTGTATTTTATTTCACTATTATTTCAGTTCAGGTTTATTTTGGTTAATATAATTGTTATTTTCAGCTATTCATTTTCAATTCTTCTTTTTTAGTAGTTTCAGGGATTTCAAATCATTTTATATAGTAGACAATGGAAGTCCGAACTAGTGAAATTTATCAAGAGTTTCTTTCAATGCAAATGGAATTTTTCTTGGTGGATACACTGTTGATTTAGCTGTACTATCTAGTTCTATGTGATATGCCTCTTTTAGACACCCTATACCATTGAAAGTATCTTTATATTTTTTCAAAAGTGCATCTAGGTTTTCATTATGAACTGAATTTTCTATTGTTTCTAATCTTTTTATAAGTTCTAATTCAAGACACCCCGTGAGTCCTAATATTGGTAAATTTTCTATTTCCACAACATAAAACATAAGTTCTGCTCGTTTATTTTGCTTTTTGCATTGTAGATAACATTGTCCTATCACTGGCAAGCAAGCAATGATCTGTATATGAACTCAGCCTGACATTTGTATTTTGCATTTTAGTCATATCATAGTTAATTTTGCTCAACAAACTCACTGGTATTACATTTGCCATTGCTCCAGTATCCATTTTGAACGTTATGGCATTACTCAAGGTCCATCAATCCAAGGTCCACCATCCAAGACTCTCCACTCACTGCCCCAATCTCCTTAGGTTGGTTGTTGGTTGACTCGATACTGCCTATAAAGAGAACATCTTGTGAATCTACATCATTATCTACATTATGTTCCACACAGTAGATTTTCCTATTGTAATTTTGTGTTTTATGTGTGTTTTCTCTTGAATATTTTGCAAAGTTTTGACGAGAATATTCAACATTGGTTTTACAACAGTTAGAAAAATGATTCATGATGCCACATTTGTTACACTTCTGTCCAAAGGCTGGGTATTTTCCATAACCATGTAATCGACCACATTTCTGGCAATTCTTTGCTTCTCGTTCTGTCGTATATGGTTCTTCTTGAATGTCTCTGGCTTTGACTGTTGATACTTCCTTGGTTGACTAGAATACAGGACATCTATTTCAGAACTACCTTCAGCAAACCCATTCGTTATTTGTCTATTATAATCTCTGGTATTTTCTGCGTTGACACACATCTTGATCGCCTTCTCCACAGTTTTAGTGTCTTCTTGTAACAGTCTCTCACGAAGTCGCTCAGATTTCAATCCACATACCAACATATCCTTGACTAAGGCTTCTCTCAACATGCCAAATTCACATGAAAGAGAGAGATTTTTGAGCTCTGTTACAAACTGTTCTATGGTTCGTCCCTCTTTTTGTTTGAATGTCAAAAACTTGTAGCGTTCAAACGCTAAATTCTTCTTTGGGTTGAAATATTCGTCAAACTTTTTCAGAAGATTGTCCACAGTTTCATTTTCTTCTCCCTCGGTTTTGAATGTATTATATATTCTGATTCCTTCGTCTCCAATCAACGTTAAAAGTTGTGCACATTTTGTACTTTCGTCTTTTTTACTTATTTCTGTTGCCTTCAAGTACATTTCGAACTTTTGTTTCCAGAATTTCCATTTTTCTGACAATTTTCCTGTCATGCACATTGGTGGGATACCTCGGAAATCCATAATTATCGGCTGTCTTTTCTAACTTTTTCTTATTCTATTATTGAGCACTTTCTAATAATCACTTTCTATGTAGTATTTTCCACAAACTAGAGAAAAATTATTGATCTCTAGTTCAATTTTTTCCTTTTAGGGAACTTAATTCAAAGTTCACGACTGCGCCATATTTTATTTGGTTTTAGAGAGAACGTTAATTAAAACTACTCTATTACTTCAAGTCTAGATAGCAACTGTTTATTTTACGCCAGTCCACCTCTTGACGTGTGTCAATCAGAGAACAATAACTTGTGCCACACTAACAGTAATTGCCTGGGTTGGACATTTATTGATTGATTGGGCAAAATGGGTCTCGGAGAGAAGTTTGGGTTCGAAAAATTTGCGTTGAGATAATTGAATTGTCTCTGTGATTGATTTGCTATTGTTTGTTGAACGGTGGTGTTCGTTGGGACATTGGTCATGTGGGTATGTCTGTTGGTATGACTATTGAATTTGGTTCTATAGTTATCTTGGGCGGTGCCATATAACTTTTCAAAATTTTCGTATTCGTTCACATACGCCATTGCGTCTTCAAGAGAATTTGGGTTTTTAAGATGTAAATTATTTCTGAGAATACCTGTACATCCAGCAATGAATGTACCAAGTGCAACTTCATCATAATGTGTTATTTGACAAAGTTTCTGTTCTCTTCAATTGAAAACGACTTTCTCTATCAAGAGTTACAAATAGAATGAATAAATGAACGTTAAAATGATGAACGTCGCCTCGCAAGTCCAGATAAGGATATCTTGGAAAACTGCTGTCAGCAGATCATGTTTCCGTGAGAGCAGCAATCCGTGTGATCGGTCGTTCCATAACTCGCTGCAGCTTGTCTAATTTCTCTTGGTAGGCATGTAGAATATACTCGTTCTTTCATATACTCCGGTAATGATGATTTGACAAGATTTTTAAAAAATATTCGTCTTTCAACCTTGGCATTTTCTTCTCTTCCACGTGATATGGCATTACTTTTATAGATTACTAATTTATTCCAGTAATATTGAAAAGACTGTAGAAAATCACCATTGGCCATCTATGAGTATTCCTAGCAACGTTGTACTTAGAACTCAGTTGGTTCACGGTATCAACTCCACATTTTGTGGTGTTGTAAAATGTGATTATCTCTGGTTTGATGTCCTCGCCAGAGTTTGGATCGATAGAGTAGTCATGGTGTATAGTGGACAACAAAATCACATTTTTATTTCGGGTCTGAATGTAGGAAACGATGGTTTTATCTTGTAAAAAACCAAACATACTGGTTTTTGGTGGTCTTTTGGTAAAAAAATCAAGTGGAATTTGCTTTTTGTCCTTACGTAGTGTGCCGACTATTGTTAGGTCATGATTCTTTGGTAAATCTTCGGCAGCTGCAACAGACGTGAACCAACTTTCCATTGTAATATTTCTCCTAGACTTCGAAAGGGGGAAACACAGTCTATTCACAACATCACTGGTATCATTGCTAACTGCAAATGGACCTGTTAGTTGTGTGCTGCAGTATATTTCCATATTGTATATAGCAAATGTGCGCGAATCGACTAAAGAAAAAACTTTCAATCCATATCTTGCCGGTTTGTTCGGTAAATACATTCTAAATCGACAACGACCTTTAAATGCCCACAACATCTCATCAAGTATAGCATATCTGCTCACGGTGTAGTGCTTCTGACATTTACCGTTTATATTTTGAAATAATTCTCTAACTGGTGCTAGATTATCCACTATTTTGCGAATTTCTATCGTTCGGATAACATCCACTCGCACCCACCTCATTAAAAAACGAAATCTTTTCAGTGCCATAGTGGCGGGAAACATCTGGGTACCTGTACCGTCACTGGACCAAAATTGAAAAATAGGTGTTCTGCTAGAAAAGATATATACCAGCGAGGTAAAGTGAGCCAAGCAGAGCTTTCATTTCCAATAGACTTGATGGTCTTACATCAGATTTTTTTGAATATTGTTACGTGCCAAAGTATTGCCACGTAACAAACATTTGAAGGAATAATTCATGGGTACTCTTCACCTTTCAAATAGACAACCAGTTCATCGGGGAGATGTATAATGGGTTGCATATCAAACATAGCAGAAATAAATGAAAACTAAAATAGCATAGTTTATATAAAAAGAAGAGATTATCATTCAAAACACAAGAGAAAGAGTATATCTAGATGCACAAAGAACCGTAACAGAATGCACAGTATTTGAAACATCAAGTCGTCTCTTATCAAAAACAATTTTATTCAGTATCAGGAATTATCACTCGAACACTATCTGGCCATGTTTCGTCTGCCGATGGTACGATGCCTATATTATATCGGTAATTCCAGTAAATATGCATCCATTTTAATGCTCGTAGCAATAATTTTTGAAAATTGATCCGATTTCTGTAATTTGTTTACATTCTTTGTGGTCGATTAGTCACTGGTCCAATAGTACCTGGAAATAACATTCAAAAAAATAAATCAGAGAAATATAGTGATTTAATATTATGTAGTAGTATAACTTGTTACTTACCTAACGAATATTTATTGTACAGAATCAGATATAGAATTAATTAGTAAATTGTAAACTTTATATGTGTCGTTTGTCAAATTCTTGTCAGCTGCTCAGTAGGTATTGGATGT